GTAAGTTGTGTGGGGGTGTAGGTGGGTATGTTAGAATATATATATCCCATCCTGCACGGAGAACACAGAGAGCCACTGTCCTTGACAACGGCGCGGTGTTACCGCTTAAAGGCCTGCAAAAATCCCCGCTCCTGCAGTACCGGCAGTTTATAAGCGACAGTTCTCTCGCCACCTGCTTTGAAGCAATCAGCAATCAGCTTGCGAGGATTTGTTTACTTTCTTACAGCCAGGGTTCAGCGTTGCCGCTTATCTCATACGAAGTTCGCTCAGGAAGTACGCCATGTGCATAATGTTGCAACAGGGTATCGAACTCTCACAGTCGCTTATACGCAAGTACTGTCGGTATATTTGCTAACACTACCTTTGAGTGCAAAACGTAACTATATTTTAATTTTTCAATTATAGTTCGCTGTCTTTTTCTGCGTTAATTATTCATATACTTTGATTTATTTAAAGTGATGCCTCAAGGTCACGATCTAATACAAGAATTGAAATCGTAACGAAGCTCCCAATTGTATAACACTGTTCCCCTCTTCGTCAAGCTCGTGGTCTTATGTCGCTACTTTGTATTTGTACCCCTTCCCAAAGAGCCCCCCTGCTCTTGCACATCGAATCCCACGTCAGCCAATGAGCACCAGTTTTCGTCACAATATTACCAAAGTTACCAAAATTATCACCTAGTTACAAGTAATTGAAACAGATATACGTAGAACTTCTTTTAAATATTGTATCTTTTACACCTTCATCGTTATTTCTGGTTGGTTACCGTTGACAACTGTCACTTTATGCCATTTTCAACATTTTTCTCGGCACTATTCGCTCTAAATGTAAGATGGCAGCCAGTGTCGTGTAATCGGGAACTTCGTTCTCACGAAGGCGCCGGCTTGAATGTCCTCACAGTGACGTCACTGTATCGACCTGTAAGCTCTCGATTGGATGAAACCGTAACACCTGATTTACAAGTGCACGACTAAATAAATCGTATTTAACTATAGCGCAATGGCACCTAGACACTATTATAAGACCTCTTGACTGCCGCTGTGACGTCACATGGGTAGTCTTCACGGCAAACGAATCTTTCGCCTGCTGCACATTGTCAGTTAACGTTTACTTACCTTCTTGGCCGCTTTAATAACGATACTTTACAGAAAAAAATTCGCAATATGTTTTTGTATTTCATCAATTAACAGTTAATTTTAACAAAAAAAGAGATGAACGATTTTAAATTTAAAGTATTGCCTATTTAAAATTATTGTGCATCCCAGTGCCGCAATAAATGAGGCAACTAAATGATTCTGCTGTATGCATAACATCATTTTCCATTTTAGGAAAATTAATTTCATGTTTGTCACGATTTAACCAGTTTTTTAAGCACTTTGTGAGGTACACACTGTCAAAAGAAAAAAAAAATATTTTTTTCTGTGGAATTCTTATGGATATTCATAAGGTATTTCTAGTTTTGGAGGATCAGAAAACATTACACGCCTTTTCGTTTCACAGAATTGTTGTCAGAAATCACTGTAATCTCTTCCAGCCCTACAAATATGATTTTTATATAGTGGTTTAGCAACGCACCTGTCAACTTTCTGACCGGAAATTTATGATTTACATGATGATACTTCTTTATTAATGGCAGTTCCTCCCTTGTAGTCTACATTTGACATAAAGAATATTTCATCTACTAAGTGATCTACAGTCTTGTCATTTTCATTCGACAAATTGAATTTCATTCCTATGTACTACAAAGCATACTCTGGAGTTTTTTCCCACTTTTGGGGTATTGAATTTTGTAGAAACCAATTTCAATGTAGTGCACGGCAACTTCACGTCCGAACTTGTGACGAATTTACAATTTGTTATAAGTACTCTTTATCAAACTTGCTCTGCTACAAAGATGTTCTGTTCGCACAAATTTAAAGCCTAGATGTTTTTACACCATAAAATGAATAAAAACACTGTTCTCATGTAATTCTATACACGACTAGCAGTTCACACTGATGCACACGGAGACCCCACTTTTGCCCAAATGTAATGTAATGACTACAAGTTGTGACGTCAGAAGCAAGATTGCGGCCGGTCAATAGGCCTGATGTTTTAGGTGGCATTGTATAGCGTGTACTAGAACCAGACACAAGTTAACCGACGTTTGTACTGGTTTGTACGAGTGTGAATTATTTCTACATTTTTACACACCGAACACTCCCTTCACTATGATTTCGCAGAAATTACTGTCAAAATAATAGACCACGTGATTGAATTAAGTACCCAAGAAAATAGTTTCATTATTGTTTGATTTTTCCTCGATGAAACAAACAAGCAATAAGCAAAGGATATGAAATTTACTTCTGTGCAAATCATGTTAACGAAAGAAATAGAGGGATGACGAAAACCGTGACGTACGAAACATGTTTTCTTACATGATAAAGAGTAAATAGCAGATAAAGGTTATGACTGCAAAACAACAATGGGATTTGATAAGATAGCACCTCATTGTTATCTCGTGCCTCTCTTTGCACTTCTCGATGATAGCTTATATCTTGATTTGTTTAAGACACGGGGAGGGGGGGCTTGCAACCTGCACGAGGCAGAACGCGGCAGAAAACGACTTTCTTGCAGGAGTCACATGACTGCCTTGTAATATCCTGGTAATAACAGCCGAGTATTGGGCGCTTACGGTGTGTCGTCTATTCGTCGAATTAGGTGCTAGTATACTCTTCGAATTTATTTGTTTTACGTGTAGATTTCTTATCAAGAAGGCACACCCGCACTACCTAAACACCATTGGTAGGGACGTTTCGCTAACCGCGAAGTTCGAACGTAAAATTTAGAACACATGGTATACTATTTTACTATTTCAATACTGTTATGCACGTAAATTTTGAGTTGCGTCTGAATTTGGGAAATAGTTAAAGCATAAGATTTATGCAGTTTTGAATATTCCTTAAATATTTGAAAACTTGAAAGAATGGAGCAGTGGAACCTGGTTAGTGATTTAAAGTCAATTCCAATATTAAGAGTAATTTTCTTATTGTTTTGGAGGTGACGCACTTTCACTGATCACTTTTGTTGCAGGAAACATCCGAGCCGTTTGCCGTAATGGGCACTGTAGTTCATTCACACCACTCTAAATCTATAAATATTCTTCAGAATCATGTCATTATTGTACATGATGGTAAGGTGTGTATCAATAATACCACGTCAAAAGGGATTGCTAACAACTTAAATTTTGAGGAAAATGTAGTGAATTATTTATCAAAACTGACAAAAGAGCATTTTAATAAAAAGGATTGTGACACCCACTTAATGAAAACTTTCACCAACATATGTATTTTGAGCTTTATGGCTTTTGAATGTAGAAGATAAATAATGAAAGAAACTGAAGAAATTTTTAATTTTGGTGCATATCAAGTACACTTCTTATTGAATTCAAAATTGGTACATATATATTAGTAATAACTGAAGAACTGGAGATCAGAGAGTCCTATGCCCCTTTTTGGCAGAAATTGCGATATTACCTTCTGTATCGCTCTGAACTTCTTAGTTTGTGTCTGTTATTACCTTTTAAAAATTTGGCTGAGTTATACAGTACAGTTAATTATAGGTTACATTCCGTATGGTTATGGGCTGAGAGCATTTTGCCTTTCGCTTAACAACCCTATGTGAGTTAGCAGTGGCTTGGGGTTATCTGCTTCCAAGTTCTTCAATTATGTTATTTAAAACTTAAATGTTTTATTAAAACAGTTCTACACTCAAACATCCTTTCCAAAACACTTTTTGCTTTTAAATTCTTTTGATGATTCGGAGATGTTTGAAATACTATTGTTAGAACTGATTGGAAACTTACATTTAAGGTTGTGATGTATTAAATAGATATAGTACCTACTTTTGAGAAAAAAAAATTAATGGAACTATGAAAATGCCAATCATTGCACTGTTTTACCATTAATTTATTGTAATTTGTAGCAAGTCATGCAAAATTGAAACTCAGAACGAGAGGGACCTTTGGCTGTTATGTGTCAAAAAAATACAATGAACTGCTCATTAGAGAAATGCACTTAGAGTTGTTTTGATGAAACACCGGATTGTAGTAAGTAATAAAAAGTTAATGTTCTGTTATGGACAAGTTTCAAAATTAAGATAAATGCTTGTCATAATTGAAAGTGTGCTTGAATCAACCTTCTATCCATGAGGAGGACATAGGGGAAAAATTTGCTTAGGCTTTTATTCAGGATATTCAGAATGTTTCCTTAATGTTCTGAACCCAAAGCTGGTTTTGTTGTGATTTAAGACTTGGCTGACTGTTTGCTGTCGGTTTCCCCCTGACCACCCACTGAGGTGGTTGAGAGGTCTTATGAATGCTTGGAAAGCGAATCAATATTGTAATTGGGACCTCTCCCCCTATGACCTGCAGGAGGGGGGCGCACAGTGGGTACTAGACAAATGTAAGAACTTGGAGGGGTATTGGCTTTTCTAACTAGTGAAAACAACAAATTACATATAATTTAACAAGATTTTTAATCTTTGATCTTTTTAATGTACATTGTAATAACTGGGAGTAATTTGGATAACAAGTCTTTTTTATTCCGAGTCAACCCGTGAGGACTTAGGGGTGGGAAAAGTAGATTTTCGCTAGGTTTCTTTGTATCTCATTCTCTAATTAAGTGACTCTTGTTATGAAATTATGAGCTCATATCATTACAATTAATTAATTCATTCATTCATCCATCACCCACCCTTCCACTCACCTACCCACCCATCAGTGGCATAACTTCAGTTGGTGTCACCCGGGGTGAAACAAATGGTATCACTCCCCCCCCACCCCCACCCCCAACAGTGGGAGTGGGTAGGAGACATAATATCACTGTTACAGATATCTTAACTAGAAAGAAATTTGATATAAATAATACATATTCTTTACTTTAAGAATTCTTCTTATTCCCATCAACATTTCACACATAGAGATAAAGTAATCGGAGAAATTGTGACTCTGACCATTGAAGAACTGGCACTTACTGTTATAGTTTCATGTTTCAGTTAACACAGTTTATTTTATTTTCTTTCTTGGTATTTATGATTCAACTGTAAAACAATTTAATTAATATATTCATAATTTTAAATAAATCATTAAAATTATATAATTCCAACTATTAAATTTTCTAATTAGTGTTACCCCTAAAATGATGTCATCCGGGGGCACTGCTCCCCTCCTGCCATTCCCTAACTACAACACTGCCACACATCAATTTCAAAATGTTGTGCTCATCCCAGGTATCCAATCTTTTATTTGTAATTGTAGCCATTCCTGAGCTAAACACTGGTATTTAATCCTTATATCCCACCTACACATGTGACTATAACACGATAATTAGGCATAAAAGAAAAAATATAAATGTTAATTTATTAGAAATAATGTGAAAGCTTAACAATTAATGTTCAGTTGGTGTTTGTACAACAGAAATTTGGAGGTAAAATTTCACAGACATTTTCAAAGGAACAAATTATAAGAGTTTACGCAAGTTTCAAATCTGTAGATTTACTTGATTCATTCTAACAAATAATTCTAATAGTTGAAGATTTTTTTCCGGACTGTACTATTCTGTATATACCTCTGGACTGAAATATATTGTACATAAAAATGAATAGCCAATGTCAATACAAACTGTGCAAGCTTTGTTTCTATATTGTTAACAGGGATAAATAAATAAATTAATATAATTATGATTTTGGACAGTGAGTAAGAAATCTTTTATAAATATGTTGTTTTTTTTTACCTTGAGATCTCTTTTTTTTTTCTTTTTCTCCAAAAATAGATTCAACATATTGGCATGGCACCAAGTCTTCAGGAGCTGAAAGAAGTTCACAATATTTCAGAAAGGCAAATAATTCAGCTGTCCCCAAGCCAGTTCATAATGCCTGGATTAATTGACACACATATTCATGCCCCTCAGTATCCAAATGCTGGACTGGGCTATGATAAAACACTACTGGAATGGTTGGAGACTTATACTTTTCCTCTTGAAAAGCAATATGGAGATTTGGTTCATGCTCAGAATGTTTATAAACATGTTGTTGTAAGTTTTTAATTATTTGCTTTTAATTATTGTAATTTCTGTTAACTGAATTGAGTGAATTCTCTCCAAAAACAAAAGACAAGTTGTAAGAAAGAATTAAGGGTTTTAGGAAAAATAGCATCAAAGACACGTGCTGAAGGGAAAATGTACAAAAAATGTATTATTTTGTGGAGTATTAATTATTTGTAATTGTTGGAGGTCACCAGTCCACCAGCTGGTGCTGATAGCAGTGTAGTTTGTGAGCTTCTAATGGCAAAAGATACGGTAAAAAACAGATACATAATAGGTTCGTAAAAAAAATAAATAATAATAATAATAATAATAATAATAATAATAATAATAATAATAATAATAATAATAATAATCAAGAATGTTTTTAAACAACTTGAATATGTCTTAATGATAAGGAGGTATTTCGTGTATTTTAATACTGAGTACTCCCTCATAAATCAATGGGGTTTTCGGTATACCAAATATTTCATAAAGCCGCCTCATTAGGAATTTTCTGTTGTGTTGCTAGAAAGTTTTGTTTGTTTTATATGCTCTATTTTTTTATTTATTGTGATTTGAATTATATTGTGATGTAAATTTGTTATTGAAGGCCAATGAAGGTGAGATAATTTTTTAGTTAAAGTCAAAATTAATTTTAATTAAATTTCTAAAGGAACAGAGCTACAGTGAAGTTTGTGAATTGTCTTTCACAATGGTGGAAAACATTAGCACTGAATTAAGATGTTGCTGATTCAGACATGAAATGTTCATTTAACAATAATTCATTCTAATGCGATTCACTATAGGAAAATGGATGAAAGAAAAGACTAAATTGTAATATTGGGAGAGCTTGGCATTTCAGTAAGTAACATATTTTAGTGACAAGTGAATTAGTAGAGGAGAGATTGATTGGCTAGTATTAATGAATGTAAGAGTTCACGTAGTATATTTATTAAACATAACTATCAAAAAAGTTAAGCTCCAAACATGCTTCTCTTTATTCATTGAAAAAGTTTACTTAGCGGCAAAGGGATTAAGATTCATGTTTACTAACTTCAGGGATCTGGGTTCAAACCTCTGTATAGCTGGAGCTTTGTATCTGGTAATGTCCTCTCATGAATAATATCCTGTTGCCCTTTTCAGGGTGATCCTATGGTTTCTCTCAGCCTTCTTTCCAAATCTTACTAATGTTACTGACTTGATTAAAAGTATATATTGGTAAAATATGTAATTAAAACAGGATGCCTGCCACACCATCTTTTCCTCATAACCCCCACCCTTACACACACACACACATACATATACACATAAAAAATATTTATGTATAAGAATAAATGATCATACTTCAAGATGTTAGCTTTATGATAAAAGTTTTTGTTCAGGAAGCCAAAAACTGTAATAAATTTATAATTATAAATAATTCACATTCTCTCAAAAGCAAATAATTATTTTGGCTCTTTAACACCTTCAAAGAGAATCGCTTTAGTCTTGAAAAAAATGAGTCTTGTGTTTTTGTGTTCAAAGGGATACTAATTAAAAATAATTATTATTATTAACTTGATTGGCCACATTGGACCCTTTGAGTTATTCCACTTCACTTTTTACTGTTCATGGTCGACTGTCGAAGGTATCACCTTGAGGTGAGGATAAATCCTCGGATACAATTCTGAATGTTATTCAGAAAGGTGATAATGAGAGATGGAGGATGATGGATGATAGGGGGTGAAAGGACAAACACAATACAACCATGCCCGAGCAGGACTCGAACCCGAGATCTTTCGGTACGAGATCGCTATGGCACTACTGCCTTAGTGATCTCGGCCACCGGATTGGCATTAAAAATAATATTACACCTATAAAGTTAGTTCCTAATTCAATTATTGAAGGAAATTAAATAACATATGAAGAACATTTGTTTTACAGAAAACATTTGTTTTATATTTGCTTTGGTCTCAGGAGTGAGAAATAGTTTTGTATGTTTATGCTGTATCTCCTCCACTTCTGAGTTTTAGCCCAAGTAAGAATGTCATAATAGAAACTGGCTGTGAAAGCCTACATTGTGTATCAAGTAAGAATGTGTTTTAATGTTTATATTAATTAATTTTCTTATGATGTAAACAAAGGGAAAAACAAAGAAAATATTACTTTCCTCAGTAATAAGAAGCTACAATATAACTACTATAGTACACTCTGCTTGACACACAACTTGTGATTCTATCATTAAGACTCACTGTAAGAGAAATATTGAACTTGTGTTGGAACCTATCCAAAACAAGTTCAATCCAAAGGAAGTCAAAAAGAAACCTCCAGTCAATAATTACTAGGAAACAATATACAATGGAAATAAGCATCTGTGGCTATAATATGCTGTGAATATTTTTGCATGAAAAGTTGTACTGATTCACCTAAGTCTTTCAATGATGAGAATAATGATACAAGTTAAATATGTCTTTTTCGTGTCAAAAGTTTTTGTGATCTTTTTCAGCATCATTCTCTGAACAGTGGGACAACTACAGCATGTTATTTTGCTACCATTCATTTAGAATCGTCCTTACTTCTTGTAGACTTAATGACAGAATTAGGACAAAGAGGTTTTGTAGGCAAAGTGAATATGAATACATGTCAGAATAAAGGATATAATGAGAAGACTGAACAGTCAGTCACTGACACAGAAATTTTTATCAAAAATGTTTTGCAACGAAAAGTAAGTATTTTCTTTTATTAAGATACAGACAGATGAATAGTATTCTATTTTACTTTGTTTTCCAATTTTTCTAGAACCAACTAGTTCAACCTATTATTACTCCTCGATTTGCCTTGAGTTGTGATTCAATACTTATGAAGAAATTAGGAGAGTTGGCTAAAAAATATAATGTTCATATCCAGGTAAGAGTTGTTAGATGTGGTTATATATTAATTTCTTTGAAATTTTACACTTGACAATTTTACAATTTCATTTTGTCATTAATATGTTTTAAAATAATACGTTTTACTAAAATTAAGTATTTACATAAAGTGTTGCCAGCATTTTCTTACTATGAAAAAATAAAGATGAAAAGGAAACATTTAATTTTATTATCTCTGAATGTAAAGTTTCAATTCCATTAACATACATCATATAATGCTGGTATTATTGCATGAATGTTTGCCAATTTTTTATTAATAACACATTTGTAATTTAAGTATATTTACCTTTGGTTCAATAGACACATATATCAGAAAACTTAGGGGAAATAGAAGCTGTTAAGGAAATATTTCCAGATTCAAAACATTATGCAGATGTGTATGATAAAGCTGAATTGCTGACCAAAAAAGTAAGTTTTCATCATACGATGACTTATTGTCTACAAACTTTTACTAGCAGTGGTTATGTATGTATTCTGAATCTCTTCTTAACCACACTTCCCTGGTATTGACCTGTTTTCCTGTCATAATTGGATATTTTTATTCTTTTTAGAGATCACTCTTAGTTATGCATGACTGGGCTTTATTTAATTCAACAAATATCTTGCATGTATTACTATCACTATTTGAAGGAATTCATTTATGATTGTAAATTATTACCAGTAGTAATCAAATATGTGAATATATTTTGGGTATTACAGAATACAATAAAGAATATGAAGGCATCAGATAAAGTCAGTTCTTAAATATAGATTTGAAATTCTCTCCAAAATTATAATTGCATCTTTGCATTTTTTTATTTTATAATTTTCAGAGATTTGATAAATTATTTACATTTGCCTTGAGATGAAATAATGGAATTTAAGAAAAGTTTAGCATTTCATCTTATGATGAGATACTTTTCAATGAGGATTGATAATTATATTATTTCTAAAGACATTTACTTTTGATTAAGTGAAGATGGCTTCAAAAGAGTAAATTGATCATTAATCTGAGCATTCATTTTACTTAAGATACTGTTCTAATACAGACATAGCAGCATAAAAAGTACTGAAAATTAAGTCAGATTAAAAAGATGTTACCCATTCATTGAGGCTATGGTCATTTATTAGATTTGATAATAGATTTGGGATTCCTTATTGATTATGCACTGGAATAAATATTGAATGTAGAATTTTAATATTTGATGTAAAACAAAAAAGCAAATCATTTATTGTTCTTTAACTATTTAATCTAAACTATAAATTTTAATTAATATTTTTTAAAGCAAAAGTGATTGGTAGTATCAACATGATATTTAATGTTAAAGACGGTGCTAGCCCATGGGGTATGGCTGAAAGACGAAGAAATAAAACTGTTGGTCTCTCGTGGCTCTTCAGTATCTCATTGTCCCTGTTCTAACACCAACCTCCAGAGTGGCCTTTGCAATGTGCGTCGTCTTCTTGAAGCTGGGGTTAAAGTTGGTTTAGGAACTGGTAAGTAAGAAATTTTGGAATCAGAAGTGTTTTATTATTATTATTATTATTGAAACATTATTTTCTTTCATTAGATGTGTCTGGAGGCCATACTCCCTCGATCCTGGATGTAATGCACAGTGCTCTTGACACAAGCATCCATGTGTTCTTCCAACATAAAAATATTATTCCTTTAACTTACCACGAGGTCTTTTATTTAGCTACACTTGGAGGAGCTGAAGGTAAATATAAAGCATAAATGTCCTTGTAAATTTTATTAATTGAATGCCCCACCTCTCCTCTACTAATTCTTCAGCCATCTTGAGAAACACTCTTTTAATAAGATTGGGAGATTCAAATTTGGAATATTCAAAAGTTCAGAGGTTTGAATGAAAATAGGATTTATTTATAAGTGCACTTTACTTCAGTTGGGGACATGTATTTAAGAATATAAGTTTTACCTACAAATCATGGGAATCAAACTGGAAGTTTTGGAGTAGGAAGTTAGAATGAAAATCATCTACCCTATTAAAAATGTAATGTAACAATAATGTAGCAAGCATCCAAATCCCATTAAACTAGAGAAACATTTTTTTTGACACAGCTTATGCTAATATGCTTTTTGTTTGGTTCTGCAAAGTTGGTGCAGATCTGATTTTTGTTGAATTCTCTGGATTCTCAAAAAAATTGCAAAAGTTGAACAAATCTAGTAATATTGAAGATATGGATGTTTTATTCAAATGAATTTGTTTCCCCATTATGTCTGTTAATCAATGTTATGAAGATTTTTTGAAAATAATATAATTTTTCTCACAATTTTGACAGAATTCTAAGCAAACGTCTTTAATGATTTCATCACAGAGCTTTTTTACATTCTAGCTTACGACATACGAGAAAATATGGTTTACAGAAAAATTGGTGTACAGCAAAACATGTGCCCATCTGTCCATGAATGTCAGTGGATAAACTGTTATCATGATGGTGTCGTGGCTCTTTGATTTTTTGTGATATTTTACACAAGACCTCAAGAATATTTTCTCAAAAATTATTCAATAGTTTTTCTTGGTTAGAGGAAACGTTTATATAAAGGGCACAGCTCTGACTTTGGTTGAATTTTCTGAATTCTTGAAGATTGAAAAGGAATACATTTTTTCAGCATCTTCTTACAGCTACAATGTTGAAGATACAGATTTGACTTCTGAATAAAACATTCTTCAAAATTAGATAATCACTAAATGTTTTCTTTGAACTTTTTGTAGATATAGTGTTAAAGGCACTGAATAACATGACATAAATGTCATTTTGATGTATTTTTTGATTTTACAAAAATTACTCAAATGCATTTTTTTTATATCTTCCATGTTAATATTTTTATTAGTGCATTGTACTATTATTGCAATTGTGGGAACGAGTAATTCAAAAGATTTCTTAGGTATTTTCTTGAAAAATCAAAGTTTTCTGTGAATATGAGCTCAAAATTGCACATTTTCAGAAATGCTCAAACAAAATTTTCTCAAGATCGGACTTCAAATCTTTCAAGGAAAATTTGCAAATAGGATCAAGTTTTACTCTTCTGTTGCATTTTTAAAGTCATTATTTTCAATTCTACTATTACAGATAAAGAATTGACAAAATTTGAAAAAGGCAGCACCAACAGGTAACAACTGGGAAGAAGGAGGGGCAATATCGAAAAGCTGGCCTAAGACTACAGAGATTAGAAAACTAATTAGTGCAATAAAGTTTGAGCCATTTCGTAGCACCACTAGTTTACTACACAACTCAAGTAATTAATTACACCTCTAGATAAAAAAAACAGTTGAAGGTGAAAGTGTTGATTATCTTATGTTTTGATTTTCTTTCAATTAAACTTTTTTGTGCATTTACTACATTTTCTAAATAGCATATCTTAGACGTAATAAAATACTGATTTTCAATAGGTTCTACTTACTTTGCCAATGGTAATATTGAACATTTAATTCTTGTCGCAATATTATTATGCTTTTTTGAATTTTGAAATTACCTCCGAAGATACCTAATTTGAAATACTTAGTTTTACAGAAAAATATTGCATTATTCACAAATTTGATTATTTCATTAGGATATGAATACATTCCTCTATCTGGTTACTTATGTATAAAATATATTGATTTTTCCAGAGGATCAAGTTGAATTTGATGTTAGCAAACAGTTTAACTTACCCATATATTATTGTATACTCTTAAATTTCTTGCAGTGCTTGATTTCTGGTGGAACGCAGCGGAACAGCGTTCTGGTACTTAAGGAATATTTATTAAATTACACTATAAATAAATAATTATTTCTATTATATTAATAAGAAATTTGAGGTGTGTTTTTGGAACCTAGAATTTTATAAATCAAGCACTGCTCTTAAATTTGTCATATTCAGCTTTTTCAAGCCCAAAACTGCTATTTAGTAAACAAATATTACTGTAGATGGTAAAATGCTGGACAATTTATTTTTAATCTAAGCAGTGTAATAAGAACCTCATTCATTAAGTACATCTGGTATGTTTGTATTTTTAATAACTCAGTAAATATCTATAAAATAATTTTTTATGGACATTCTTTCAGCTATGTTTCCGAAATCAAATTTTTCTTCTAAATATTTTTAACATGTTTTCTTTATGTTACAGCTTTGGCACTCGAAAATGAAGTGGGAAATTTAATGCCTGGGAAACAGTTTGATGCTCTGATTGTTGACATGTCAAGTCATTATTTATTGAATAGTGAGCCAGAGACCCTGGTACAAAAATTTGTCTATTGTGGTGATGATCGCAATATAATTTTGGTTTTTGTGGGTGGTAAAATAGTGAAAAAGACAAAAATTTAAATAATGGGCGAATTTATGTCCAAATTGCTTGTTAAACCATGGTACAAAAGACCACCATTCTTAAGTATCTTCAAAAAAACATGATTTATACAATCTGAACAGCTATTTTGCATGACTTTGAAAATATTTAGAAAATGCTCTCTTTGAAAACAGTTGGTTAAAATGAAGCAATATTGTTTGTTGTCCTAATAATATTCTTGCAACTAAACTAAACATGGCTCTTGAGAAATTAATGTACATTTTTAAAAAAATACAAAAGTGAAGATCCAGTAAAATTTGTGAAAATTTAAATATTTTATATCCAATACTAACTTTTATACAACATACAAGTAAAGCTGGATTTCAAAAACATAAAAACCCAGGAATTTCAAGAGTTTAAAATGAATTGTATTATTTATTTTCTCTCCAATCTCTATCTTGTGTCTCAATTCATACTTGTATCCTTAAATTGTTATATAGATTTTCACTTAAAAAAAAAAGAGGAAAATAACAGCGATTTGTCACCTGAGGGTAGTGAACTAATGTTAATCCCGTTAAAAATGTATTTTTCAATAAATATTTTTAACAAAAATTCAACAGTAAAAACTGAATGATCTACATAGCAACAATTAGAATTGGGTGATCAATTTCCATAATCTACTGTAAAGCATCTCAGCACTCACTTTGCCTCTATTGTATTTCACACTAGAGTAAAGAAATATTACTTGCACAATACCAGCATGAAATACGGGGACATTGAAAATTTTATTGCTACCTAACGGTTAACTGTGTTTCATGTTTATTCTTCTTCCTCGATCGCTTTGCGCACTTAACCAAGCATCTAGCGAAAAATTTCCTAAATTGTTCAAAATTTCTTCATTCAATTAATATTCCTTATTAACACTCTCAATGTTCATATTTAATTTGCGTCATTACGCAATTGCTTATATTTTGCGAGAATATTCGACATTAAAGTTTTGCTTACAAATACCAAAAATATCATAAGGATTTTGCCTTGCGCATCATGTAAACTAAACAATATTATTTTTTAAAGATAATTACAGAATTCTAATATAAAGAAATATTTAAATCAATTTTTGCATAAAAAAGAAGGTACCGAACGAAAACTAAGCCTTCGGGAAAGGGGGGGGCATGCCCGGCTGATCGGCGCTTTTCACGGAAGCGCCCGGGCTGGATTCGCCCCAGTTCCCAGAACTTTCAGGTTTAAACATTAAAGTTCCAAAAATCAACAACGTAGCCCAAACCTGTGCGGTCTGCGCTCGTCCATACAGTGCGTCTCGCCTGGTTTTACATCTCCTGTTCGTCCAATGTTGCTGCCCTACTGTTTCTGATGCGACGCAGACCTCTTATACATAGGATTACTCTCTCTTTTGGGTCACGGCCTCCTCCGCATCGCCGTGCACTCCTTGTTTATTTTTTACCTTCTGGATTTATTAAAACCAAGATGTATGCACCGATCTGAATATAACTGTCTAAAACTATATTACTAGAATTTACATTCATTTTAGGACAAAGAGGTGTACAAAACAATCTTTCACACTTCACTCGCTAATTGTCACGTGCTACGCCTTAACGGTGAACAGATCTTGTTAAAGTTGGCGAGATTGGAACGTGTTAATTTTTTGGCAACACTGCTGAGCATTGTCAACCGTGGAGCGCAACGAGTTATTCTGTAATTTTTTGTGAGCGCTTGTGGGATCGGTCGAGTCTACACGTTGGTGTTTTGTGTCAGAGCGAGGATTGAGTGACTGGTGACTTTTCAGAGAACATAGCAAAGTATATAAAAACAATGACTGACAAGCAAAGGTTGACCTCGGACTTCTGAAGAAGACGGACGAATTTGAAGAATTTCGACTGAAGTGTAAGGTACTCTAACCTATTATGTGTTATTCAAATTTAAATTATTTTGGTAATAACCTTTAATGTTATCAGATTGGGACTGGAAAGGACGAAGATTGATGAAGATATTAGTGTGTGGGAAGATAATTGGATGATATAATGTAGAAGATGATTCAGTTTACAGTTAAGGTAGCCAAGGAAATATAAGGATGCATGGAAAATATGATAAGCCAATCGTTCATTTTGAGATGTAAATTTAAGTTTTTATAATTGTTCATATAGTAATGCTATCTCTAAGTTATGTGATTTATTTTCACGAGCTGAATTGGAGAAACAAGCGAATCAAACCTTGAACCTGTCCAACCAATCATAATGTAATTAACAATATTCTGACTTAGTATTATAAAATCCAGAAAATATTTGTGTTCAGCCACTTCTGAGAAGTACCTTTGCTTGCTTAACCACTATAAACTTTATAAAAAGTGCGTGTGTGGAAACTGTGAAGATTTAAAATCAATGAATGTTGTGAACATCTCACCTTTTTTATAAGACTTAACTTGTATCCTCAGCAAATCTCTTAATTATTTTATAAAGAATTTTGTTTATTTGCATTTGAGCAATGATGCTAATTTCACCTTTCATTTGTCACAAAGAGAAATTGCCTAAGGTTACAATGAGAGTTTGCCAAAAACTATTCTCTACTACTGTAGTGAATAAAAAGTTTCAACATGTCACCTTTCTATTTATGTTTTTCAGTTGTATATTTTCTTATAAGTTCAATAATCAAGGTTTCCTGTAATAGGGGATGGATAGTTAAATTCCAGGCTGGTTAACATACACATGCTCAATTAATTGAATTTTTCTAGACGAGCTTCTGCATTTAACAATGAGACTTCACCAATTTTATGCCTGAATGATAGATTTGGATTTTGTGCCTCACAAAAATATACCTAGTCTAAAAAGATTGTAATAAATTTAACATAATTGCCTCCATCTTTAGCATAGGGACCCTGTTTTCAACTGTACCCAATTTGATTTCATTTTTACTGAAATTTCTTTTTGATACGCTTGGTACACAAGCAATAGTTTCTAAAATGGTAAATTTGTATAAATCTAAAATACATTTTGTTTTCTTGTCAAAGGTTTGTCACAGTAGAAATTATTTTTAAAAATCCTTAAATGTCTTCCCTCAAGTTTAATTCCAAGATGGCTCAGATTAACAAAAAGAAAGAATGGAGGGACAGCTATTTTTCTTAAAAAAAGAAATTTTAATAACATTTCTTTTTATTTGTAT